CTTACAGCCCCCCGTCCTACTTCCTCTCAACTCTTTCTTAGCCACTTATCCTCTATCTTCTCTTCTCCATCTAAATTCCTTACAAATTCCCCTAGATACCCTTCATCCTGAACTCCTCACCCAACCCAGACCCCTGCGTCTTGGCAGGCACTGCGTTGTATGCACAGTGGAATTGGTCCCCCAGTGAGCACCTATGGCTAACCCGCTTACATGTATTTCTTGGAACATAACATGAATTGATAACCCTATAAAAAGGTGAAAACATCTCACTTAAAGTTGAAATGCATATAATCTTCCTCTAGGAAATCCAGCTTATGGAGTGTGAGGCTGAAAAGCTTTAAAGTTTTTAGTAATTACTCAGTCAAATCTAAGGGATGTCAATCCTGTTCAGTAAAAAACTGACCACACAAATCCTATCAACGGATAAAAACACCCAAGGAAGACTCCTAATGGTACAGTTCCTATCTCTGATGTACATGCATGCTTTTTAGCCCCTGTGCCCCCAGTAAAGATGATCCCTCCTTTTTCAATCATTTTCAAGCTTGACTCCTCCCTAGGAAATTTGATTATAACAGGGGACTTCAACAAAGTGTTGGACCCACTTTTAGATGGATTGAGAACACGCCAGCATTCCCAATCCTCTGCTAGGCAGATTATTATTGGCCAGATGGAGGAAGTGGGTTTAGAGGACATATGGAGGCTTCAGTACCCTACAGCTAGAAACTATTCCTTTGTCTTAGCCCCACATACTCCCAGATCAATTATTTTTTGGTATTTGGTGGCTTTGGGAGCTCTGTTATTAACAATGAAATAAAAGTGATTATGATCTCTGATCGGGCACCTCTGGTATTGCAGCTGTCATATCCTAAAAAACTAGGCACTACCAGAAGATGGAGGTTAAACTCCTCTTTGCTACTAGACATTCAATTTAAAAAGTTAGTGGAGGAAGAAATACATTTTTTTCTTTGACACCAAAGATAATCCTTTGATCTCCTGAGCACCTTGTGGGACACTTTCAAGGTGAACTTAAGGGGCAGGATACTAAGCTACTTCCCCCATAAAAAGAGAGTCAGGTAAGCTGAGCTGATGAATTTAAGGGAAAGGCTCAAGCAGGCAGATGTCAGTTATGTCAATTCCCTGACTTTGGATATACTCCATAAGGTGACCCATCTCAGATATAAAATTTATAAATTAACCTCATTTCCGGCTGAATTTGCTTTGTTTAGACTGAAACAAACACACTGAGAATCCGTCAATAAAACTAGGAAGCTATTAACACATAGACTTCAAGTGAATTCACTAAAAGCTAAAATCCCCTCAGTTTGCTTAAGTCAGGGCCAGATACTTGCTGAAAAAAGTATCAATAAACAAGACATCTCCGCTCCATGATCAATTACTTGAGGAATATGGCCCAAATCTGCAACTTTCCCAGCTAACAGAAGTACAAAATTTGACTGGATTTCCCATTATGTGCCTCTGAAATTATGGCTGCTGTAAGCAACGTGAAGTCAGGTAAGGCCCCGGGCCTATGCAGCTTTCCAGATGACCTTTGTACCCAATTCAAAGACTGGCCAAAGTATACACTGCCCTCTTCAATGAATGAAGCCCTAATCTCAGTCATGCATAAATCTGACAAAGGTACCCAAGAAAGTGTGAGCTATCAACCAATATCTTTAATCCATTCTGATACTGAAATATTGTCTAAAATCCTAGCTGGGCAATTAGAAAAAGCAATGAGGCTTCAGGTAGGTTTTTTTTTAACAAAAGAGACATGGGTTGGGTGACACTCATCAATTTATCAGTGTGCTGTCCTGCTAGCAAAACCGATGGCTGTGTTGTCTCTGGATGTGGAAAAGGCCTTTTGACAGATTTAATTGGAGACATTTGTTCACCATTCTACAAAAAATTGGATTTAGTCCCTTTTTCATTTCCTGTATTAGACTTTTGTACTCCAATCCTAGCACCTGTGTTGTAACTAGGGCTGTCAAGCGATTAAAAAATTAATCTCGATTAATCATGCAATTAAAAAAAATCTCGATTAATTGTGTGATTAATTGTGTTAAACAAATGGAATACCATTTATTTACATATTTTTGGATGTTTTTTACATTTTCAAATATATTGATTTCAATTACAACACAGAATACAAAATGTACAGTGCTCACTTTACATTTATTTTTTATTACAAATATTTGCACTGTAAAAAAACCAAAAGAAATAATATTTTTCAATTCACCTCATACAAGTACTGTAGTGCAATCTCTTTATCATGAAAGTTGAACTTACAAATGTAGAATTATGTACAAAAAATAACTGCATTGAAAAATAAAACAATGTAAAACTTTAGAGTCTACATGTCCACTTAGTCCTACTTCAGCCAATCGCTCAGACAACCAAATTTGGTTACAATTTACAGGAGATGATTCTGCCCGCTTCTTGTTTACAGTATCGCCTGAAAGTGAGAACAGGCGTTCGCATGACACTGTTGTAGCTGGCATCATATGTCCCTTCATCTTAACCACCATGCCATAGGATATGCACCCATGCTGATGATGGGTTCTGCTTGATAACAATCCAAAGCAGCGCAGACTGAAGTATGTTCATTTTCATCCTCTGAGTCAGATGCCATCAGCATAAGGTTGATTTTCTTTTTTGGTGGTTCGGGTTCTATAGTTTCTGCATCTGAGTGTTGCTCTTTTAAGACTTCGGAAAGCATGCTCCACACCTCATCCCTCTCAGATTTTGGATGGCACTTCAGATTCTTAAACCTTGGGTCGAGTGCTGTAGCTGTCATTAGAAATCTCACATTGGTACCTTCTTTGTGTTTTGTGAAATTTGCAATGAAAGTGTTCTTAAAATGAACATGTGCTGGGTCATCATCCAA